CATGGCCACCCCAGGGCCCAGTCCTGCTACAGTGGGTATCTGGAAACTTCATATCCCTCTGGCTCTGGGCCTGCCCAGCCAGACTGGCCCCAAGTTCCCACTCAAGTCAGCTCCACCCTCTTCAGCTGGACCCAACATCTATCCTGCAACCAGCTCCCCTCAGCTGAGTCCATTGCTTCAGCCAGCCCTCAGCTAAGTGCTTCTTTACTTATAATCTCTCTAGCTTTACCTACAACCTTTCTCTAGAGTATTGAGGGTAGAGGTTAACCATGGTGGAAGTGAGGGGCCTGGCTGAGCCTATGGCTTGACTCACATAAGCAACTAACTGAGCAGCCCTCTAAGTTGCAAGCTTCAAGCTACATGACAACTTGGAATGGTTGATTTAGGTGTCCTTTTAGTCTCTGCCATACAGGGTGGAGACAGAAGTTACATTTGTTGTTTGATCAGCCTGCTGAAAGCACTCTATAGCTATGCCCTTACAGAAGTACACAGCTGCGGAGTGCTTTAAAAGTTCCTGATTGTGCGATAATCTGAATCATCATTACATGAGGGCTCAGATGAAGGTGATCCAAAGTGGAGTGCCTTCATTAAAGTCTGTCAGTGTGTGCTGGGAGCAGGGCTGGGCTGATACAGCCCTACCTTGCCCCCAGTGCTGTCTTCAGAATGAGAAGGGGAGAAATGAGGGGAGGGAGTTCTGTCTGGGGTTTGCCCAGCCTGCACTGGAGGTGGGGTGGGCGGATTGTAGCCCCCACACTGAGGCGAGGGGGGCTCCAATCCACCTGCCTCACCCTCCAGCGCAGGCTGGGAAAGCCCTAGATGAGCTCTGTCCCCTCCCTTCCCCCGCTCCCACTCTGAAGGCAGCACCAGAGTTGGGGGTGGGGGGCAGGGCTAGGGGAGAGTGGCTGCAGGCACTCTAAACTGGAGTTCAGTCCCTTAATCCCCTGAACCCAATGGTGAATATCTGTTGGGTTTGGGAGGGGAAGCGAGGGAAGGGATGCTGTAACTCATGGTGCTTCTTGCAAAGCACCATGAGTTACAGTGAGGAGCTGCACATCTGTCAGTACCCGTGTTGGGGAAAACTTGTCCCCAGGTTCGTTAGGCGGAGGCTCAAACGAACAACAACATAAGTTTAAAGACTTGATTTTTAAAGAATGCATTCTGAACAGACAACTGCCCCGAGAGGAAACTGTCTGTTGTTCTACTTCGCGCGCAGCTTGATTATATAGCAAGTATGATATAGGAAGTATGACATCATATGCATAGTAACAGATACATCAATC